GACATCACCTCCTTGTGATAGCCTAACGTGGACATTCATCTCTTCTAGAAAATATCAGCTCCATTTATCCAAGCTCGTCTACCTCCATCATCTCATTTTATCCTTATGCTTCTGTCCATCAAAGAGGTCCTATGTCTTTCTCCTCTGCTTGCTTTGGCTGTGATGGTGGCGGCCTTGGCCCAACCATGAGTCATGGAGGAGGGCGTTCTCCTGCAAATCTTTTACACGTGGACAGAGATGTGACCTTCCAGAAACAGCTACTCCAGGCCATGCAGGTCTACAAGTCCCCTCTCACTCTCAGAAAATCTCTTGCATCTCTGGCATTAAATGGCAATAGATGGAATGTTGCAGCTGTTGACCCGAGTCCTGCCCACATCATCTCACAGGCCGGTGGGGTTGCAGAAGATGGTTTTCACATATCTTTTCTAGGGATGACCACAGCAACGCAACCTTCTTTATACTCGAGCAAGGGCGGACAAACTAGGACCCCTGGGCCAATTCTAACCCAATGCCTGTGTCAGTAAATGAAGTTTACTGGAATGAAGCCATGCCCATTTGTTTCTTTATTGCTTACTGGCTGTACTGTGCTGCCCAGCAGACACCACAGAGCCTGTAAGCCTAAAGGGTTCACTCTCTGACCTAGGAAAGTAGTTGCCTACCCCTGCTCTAGACTACACAGCTGGTAAAATGGTGAATATTTTCAGACTGCCTATGCTGAGAAATCAACAAGGCCTCTGGAGGACAGAAGTCACATTTCAAAAAGAGTTGAGCCTCATTTTATCATTTCATCAGACATTTTAGAATACATGAGGTACAGAGTATTCTGAAGCCTGTCTTTTTTCTTTTTTTTTTTTTCAGGAAGGGGGTTTCTCATTGCCATGAAAGAACTCTTGGTCTTAGACATAATTTGGGTCAGGGAAGCCAGTTGCCCCTAATTGGGAATACTGAATCAATTGCTGTTAATGACCCTGCCTTTCCCAGGCTCAGTGGGTCACTCAGTCTGGGAGCCACTGTACAAGGACCTCAGGCCCACCACAGACAAGCTCCTAGATTCTCCTCGCTCAGCTGGGCTTCCCTGAGTGTTGGTAACTCCAAGAGTAAGGGGGTTGTACCCTGCTCATTCCCTTTCACTTAATTTGACTTTAGTCAACCCTATTCTTGGGCTCACCAAAGAACACAGAACAAACTCTGCTCAACACACCATGGTTCCCAGTCATCCATCCAGGGTTCAAAAATAAAAGTAGTGGTTGCTCTTCAAATCCACAAGCTCTGGAGTGAAGCAAGTTCTGTCCCTGGGCCACGCAGCCAGTCCCACAGGTGCTGTGCAGACCCATCTCTGTGCAGTCTGGGGCCCACCAGAGCACTCTCAGATATCCAGCTACTGGCTGATCCAACAGTTCATCAGATTTCTCAGCCTGGACAAAGGAGCTGCCTGCCTTGTTTTGTCAGTGGGTATGAATGCTGCCCTGGTCTGCCCTGGCCCCTCTTAGTAGATAATCACATGGATCCTGTCCCATTACAAGACCAAGGTCAAATCCATTCCAACAAAACCAAGGGCACATCCAAGTTCTCCCACGGCATGGGAGTGTCCTTGTACATTATACTCTTCAGCAAAATAAAGAAAGGTGGGCCATGCCTGGAGCCTGGAAATGGGGACTTTGATTGGAGCAGGACTTCTTGTAATGAGATCAGGCCCAGAGTGGGACCTGACTCACTCTAGAAGCCAACAACGCATGCCCTTCAGTTTAATCCAAGATGGCTCAGTCACCTTCTTAGGATCATCTGTAACATGTCTCTGATATTTAGAAATTCATGCTCAAGCTCTCAATGTTGGCAAATGCTGCAAGCTTCCCCTACCCAGCTGGCTGGGATGGCCTTTCTCCTGGCTGTCTCTCACTGCTGCATGGCCTAGGAGTAGATAGTGCACATAGGCCAAGACCCCAGGCCTATGACACTAAGGAATGTAGGACCAGAGCTTTAAAAGTTAGAAAGCAGGCATGCAGAATTACAAATCCAGAAGTAGAGTCTACAACGTGAGGATCACCCACAAACTGAGGGTTAAAGGCCCCTTCTCCACTCACCAGCTTGTGTCAGCAGAAACACTGAGCTCTGGTGGGAGGGTGCTCTACACGACTTGAACAAGGTCTTTCCTGATGCTTCTCTCAACAATTTCACATGAGAATAGACACAGATGGACATCAGCTCATCCGACAAGCCTGTTTCTAGGGGCATCAAAGCAGGGATTTGGGTTTACTAACCAGGCAAAATCAGACTCCGAACTCTCTTGAGATAAGAACTATCAGAATAATTCTTCGGTTGTGCAAAGCCCAGCTTCTTGAGGAAACCAGCTATCAAGCTGGTGGGCCTGTTTGAAAATCCATATCTACTCTGAGTGGAGCAGAGAGGAAGGAATAAACATTAGGAATATTTGATTCCTTGTGCCAATATCATATCCACCTTGACAAAGTCAAGCCAACGGGAGTTTGAGGTTTTCAACTATCATTTGTGCTTTCTGCAATGCTAAAAAGACAGTAGACTAGGCAGGAAGAAAAATGTCCCCAAATGCCCCCTCTGTAGTTCAGTGAGTTTAAGTTTTCCTCCCAGATATCAGTTCTTAGGAAGGATGAATATGCCTGGCCCTCCCATGTCACAACAACCAGTAAGTAATCAAGAAGAGGATTTTGATTATGGTAGGCTGGCATGGGAGAGGGGAATGAGAACTGGACAGAGTCAAGACATCCCCCCGACCCAAGCAAACACAGAGGCCAGGGAAGGGCCTTTCTTGCCTGCTCCCAAACTAAGCAAGAGGATGCAGAAGAACTGAGGATAAATGAAATGCAGAACTTGTGCTCTCTAAAAATCGGCATTTTTTGGCTGGAATAACTTTTGGCATCTTAGCCTGAGCTCAAGGTGGAGGAGTGGGACCTGGATACCCCACTGGAAAAGCAACCAGGTCCCCAGAACCTGGCTGGGCTGACGGTCTTCACTCCCCTTTCAGGACAGGGGCTGCTACTTACATCTCAGGCTGTCACCCAGTGGCTGAAAAGGCTGACTAAGCAAACCTTTTGCTTGTACCCTAGAAATGTCAGAGGAGTGTGGTGAGCTGCTATTTGGGGAGGGGGAGAAGGGCCTGAGAGCTACAGTGCAGCGGAAAGGTCTCCCTGATACCGCTTCCCCTCCACCCTCGCCTCGTGCGAAAGGACACAAGCAGACATGCTTCCTCAAAGGCAGGCAGCCTTCCTTCGGCATTGATAGGACGATGGGAAAATTAATAGGGGTAATATGAGCTCATTTCAATAATAATGAGCGTATAAACATGCCAGGTTTTGATCTTTTCTGATGCATGGATTCCTGGCAGGAACTAGGGTCCTACGTAGGTATTTGAAAGAACTGAAAATAGACTTAAAAAAAAAAAAATCCCCAAACAACAATGAAAAAGAAAGCACTCCAATCACAAACTTAAAACAACAACAATAAAATAAAAAAAAAAAAAGACAAACATCGCTCCCCTGGAAGAAAAGAAAAGAAAAAAAATTGGACTGACATGAAACCCTTTTCTCCTTCCTTTAAATATTGTTTTTAACAGCTTCAAAAGTAATGAATTGTATGTGACTAAAAATAGATCTGGGGGTGCTGGTTAATGGGGCCTTATGAATCATTCAGCATAAGGAACTGTCAATATTTTTTTGAGCTGTCAGAAATCCATTTAGTGATTTTTGAAAATTCAAAAAATATTTCTGACTGCTTGATCCAGTTCTTAGTGAATTAGGGAAGGAGAGAGAAAAAGAAATATATCAATTTAAATTATGAACTGAATCCAGCTTGCTGATCCCGCTCTGTGCTAAAAGGAATGTCAGGATTCAAAAGTTAAATAGGTTCTTCGCTCCCTCCCTCCCTTCCTTCTTTCCTTCCTTGCTTCCTCCCTCTTGTCCTTCTTTCCTTATTCCCTCCCTCCCTCCCTTCCTACTTTCCTTCCTTTTTTGAACAAATAAAGTCACAGAAATGCATTCATGGGCTACAGATGGGAAGATACCATGGTCATTTGTCTCTAGTGGGAAATTTGGGCCTGGAAATAACACACTGAACTTCAATTTAGAGAAAGACTTTCAAATAATATCTGGGTGCCAAGAGAATGGCTTTGATCCTCCCTGCCCACACCGACATTCATTTGATGCAGTTCTAGGCTTCAAATCTAGCATTACTTTTTAAGATCTGGAATTACTTTGGAGTAAACATATTCTTTAAGGAAGTAAAGAATTGCCAATTTGCTAACAAGATCAGGCAGGCATAAATCCAAGACAGACAGGATCACAACACTGCTAACCAGGGACTTCATAATGTACACTTCTTGTTAGAACAACAGACAGACGGGTTAAGAGACACACAGAAGGCAATAATAGAAGGCCAAAGTCACAGTAACTGCCATTTGATATGTCTGAAGATGAATCACAAACACCCCACAACCATCTCCCTATTTGGAGAGAGGGTCATTTTATTTCTACATTGTGGTTAGTGTGATATGATTTTAGTATCCTCTAAGTCATTATAAAGAAAAGTTTCAGAAAGCAGATTTGGCTTAGCAAAGCAGTAAGGAATTGTCTTTCGGCATCTTATGCGTGAGTTGAAAAGACTGAAAAGTTTGCAAGTTACCAGGTCGCTTTTCCTTTTTGTTTTTTAAGTTTTTCCTTTCCCCCTCAAGTTATGGATTAAAAAACAGGAGTAGTTCATGCTGCGAGACCCCGCCCCCTTCTCTATGCCTTCAGTACAGGCATTTCAGATCACAATAATGCAAACTGAAACACAAAAGTAGGAGGTCCAACACTTCTAAATAAATTTGACTCTCATGATTGTCTACATTGCGTATACAGTATAGTTGGGGGTATTTTATGTGTAGTTCAAAATCTGCTCATGGATAGATTTACCCCATTTTTAAAAAAATGCACAAATCAGCACTGATGTTTTTGGGAAATGAACTAAAGGAAGAGGATTCTAAAACTTACCACACAAGTCTGGCCTCTTGATACATCCAGAATTTGCTGTGCTACTTGCAAGTCCGTTAAAGGCTGCTAAGCCATCAGAGCTATAGGCCCTGAGGACCGACAGCACGTTCATCGGCTTCTCCAGGCCCTGGGGCCCCCGCTCTGGCTTGGGCAGGCCCGCAGTGGGGTCCTGGGCTGGAAGAAGGCCCGGGCTATGCCACTGCTTCTCCGACGCCTGGGGCAGAGGGGAGACCAGTCCCTGGACAGGCTGTGGGGTGCCCGTAGGCAGCAGGCCATCCCCGCTGTCGCTGCCCCCGTCCTTGCTCAGGGCAGGCGGCTTGCTCATCACCTCCGGCTCTGTGTCAATATCCTCTTCCTCGTTGTTTTCTCCCTTGGAGGAGTCCATGTCCTCCGAGGAGGCGATGTCCGAGAGGTCATCAGTAGTGTTCTTATTTGTGGTTTCGGGGATCAGGATCGGGGCGTCATCTTCGGAGTGGGCCTTCCCGTCGGGCTCCCTGTTGGGGCAGGAGCTGGCGGCCCCTGGGCCCAGCAGGCCTGGGTAAACACCGAACTGCTTGTAGAAGTCTGATGGGAAGCTACAGAACGAGGGGTCCACGTGGCTGGGCCACGGGCCGCTCTTCTGCTCCCCCAGAGTCTCTTTGACCTGTCCTTGGGCCATCTTCTCGGAAGCCGAGTCTAGAGGTCCCATCATGGTGGAAAGCGCCATCTCTTTGCTTGATTGTACCGAGGGCAGCAAGGCCACTTTACTGGCCTCCCGGGCTTGGTCTTTGCAGTTGACTGTCACCCCGATAGTGTTATCTTTGCGTTTCGCTTTGCCCAGGTGGTTGGCCTGGAGATGAAGAGCCATCAGCTCCATAGAGGACGTTGTGAAAGCACAAAACAAGCAGCCGTGCCACGCAATGCTATCTTGCACAGTCACCGAGGAGCCCGGGAGGGAGGCAGCGTCCGGCCGCACGGACAAGTCCAGGGGCTCATACTGAGACTTCTCAGACTTCCTGGGGGCCACCTTGCCGCCCACCTTCTCCTCGCCGCCGTCCGCCCCATGGACCTTCATGGAAGGAGGGTCAGAGAGGGCTTTGTCCTTCAAGTCCTTCTCCTTCTTCAAGGAGCTTAGGACAAAGCTGTCCATGAACGCTTGCAAGGACCCTTGGAAATTCACACCGTTGTTCACGATACTTTGATAAGCTCTCCCGATTTCGGAGAAGTGGGTGCTTTTGGAAGGAAGGTCAGTGCCTTTCAGGGTGTCTGAAGGAGCCTCAGAAGACATGCCACTGGCCTGTCCTGTGTGATCTCCGGACGAGAGCGCTCCTGACGTCCACTGCTGAGACGCAGGGCCACCTCTGAAGTCGATTCCGGGGAGCCCCTTAAAGGCGCCCCTCAGGATGTCTGGCCTGATAAACAAAGCGGCTTTGTTGGACAGCTCGTCCCTGTGGTCTTGGTTCGGGGGCTGCCCAGACAGTGGCCCAGCTCCATTCTGCCGCTCCCGGTGGTGCCGTTCTAGGTGGTATTTTAAGGAAGCTGATTGGGTACCGGCATAATCACAGTGGGGACATTTGTAGGGTTTCTCACCTGCAAGATTTTGGTATAAGGAGAAAAGAAAAAGTGTTAATCTCATTTTGGTGTGCTGAACAAGGCTAGAAGGATCAACATTTGTTCTTGGAAACAAAGCAGCTCAAACTAATAATTAGTTAGAGAACAACTGTTTTTTAATAGAAGAATAATTCGTACTCTTAAGCTTTTTTAATGATTTTGTACCATTTGGGACTATTCAGGAATGACATACTATCTACACACAATTAGCTATCTTTTTCTTTATCTAACATGTGAAAACGGCTGTAGATTTAAAAGCTATGATTATGAAAATTAAGCATAATAATTTCAACCACAGTGATCATTAAAAGTAGAAGTTTAAAAAGACAAAGTATGTAACAAATGGGTGGTTGCAATATTTTGTGTATACAATAGCTCTAAAATTTGTTTAAATTATACACATGGAAACCATTTTTAAACCTAAAAATTTTATGGCACTGTTACGCAAGACTGAAATGAATGATTTAAGTCTTGCTCTGCAGTAAATCATGGATATAATTAGCAAATGGCATACTGCACAAGTAATTTATCATTATTTGGAGGGCACCATTCCAGACGGGCTCAGATATCTGCAGACCTACTGCATTGTTTCTAAATAAAGAACTATAAATACCGATTCTATAAAATATTAATACCATTACAGTGCATTATGATTGCAGCATGTAAAGACATATAGTTAAGATAAAAAGCAGTCAATAAAACTTAAAAGAAAATGAGTAATAAAAAGGCACAAAATATATTTAGTTTCTGTATTTGAAATTAACATTATCTACTGGTCTTTGTAGTGCCTTAAATTTGTACTAATGGCAAACCTAATGCTCCGGTAGTAAAATGTGTAATTTACCTATAATAAGCGCTTTCTAGAGAATAAAAATAGCTTTAAAGACTGTTTTAAAACATATAAGATCATTTTCATGAATTAAATATTTATTTAAATCCAACACACAACTTCTATTGTTCTTTCCACTATGGAAAAAATACCATGACATACAACCGAGACCTGCCTGCATTATTGGAGAGGAAAAGAGAGGAGGGTAAACAAATGTGAATTTAAATATATTCTAAGAATTTGTGCACAGTCCAGGGTCTTTTCTGGACCTTGGAATCAAACAACTCTCTGGAAGGAATGGGACTGTTTGAGTTCCTTGTTTACAACAGCACTCTGTCAATAACCACAATTATTTTTCCAAGGAAACTCAGGCATTCCTCACCACTTCTTCTGTTCTGTTGTAAAACAGAGTGATCTAAAGCAATAGCAAGTCAAGGGTGAATGGTGTATTCTGGAGACATTTTACCATGTCTAGTCTCAGCTGATGCTGGATTCCCAGTCTCCAGGCACAGGGTATTTTGGGGTAATCTACTTATTAGGGGCAAGGGGAGGATGCATGGATTTTGTAAATAAGAGGACCATCAGCCTGGGTTCTGACAGAGGACTCCGTGTCACCTCTAGACTGTGTGCTCCAGCCTTGGAGAAGCTATACCTGCCTCATCAGATGGTGGCTGTGTACTTCTCTTTCCTTCCTACGTGCAGCTGAAGGTTCCCCGGGATGCATCAGAGAGGACCCAGCTGGGACTCTCTTTCTCAAGACCAGTGACATGGATCTACAGGAAGACTCAGTCCCTTTGATGTAGAGGCACAAAAGGCTTAAGGCACCATTTCCCACTTCTTGAAGTCAATGCCCATGATAGGCTCCAATTCCCTTCCGTCACTGCTATGTGACATCTCACTGGAGACTAGGGAACTCTGTGGGTGGGGGGCAGGGGAGCGGGGGAGCAGGCTGTGGGGCTTGTGGCAGGAAAGCCTGACAAGGAACTCATGATCCTGGTCCACGGGTTGGTGTAAGGCCTGGGGGTCAGCCCTGCAGTGAGAGCTGGCAAAGGTGCCTGCAGGTATTGGATGAGACTCAGGATGCATTTCAAAAATGCACCTGGAAATGATTAAGCGCATCTGGTAAAGGGTGTGCAGAGCATGCATGGGCATCCATCAGCATGAGCTGCAGCGGGAGAAGGCAGGGCTTCCCTCCACGCCTGGTGGGGTGGGGGCTGCCTTTCCTGGCCGACTGCAAGGATGCTCGGGGGATGTGTGTTGATTTCCAAGGGACACACACTTGAAATGCTCTTTGGAGCAGCGGTTCTCAGACTGTACTGAGCATTAGAACCTCCGAGGGAGTTTAAAACAACGGTCCTGGGACCCAAAGCACAGCAGTTCTGATTCCCTGGGTCTGGGGGAGGGAGGCAGAAGTGGGTGGTTCCATAGGTGTCCCTGATGATTCTGATGTCAACAGTGTAAACGTTATATTTTGAAAAATCAAAGTGGAGCTGCTTGAAGAGCTTTAACAAGTGCTGATAACTGGTCCCACCTTTATTTCCAGAAGTTCCTCTGGCAGATTGGCCTTTGGGGTTGGCCTGAGGGGGCAAAGGCCCCCTCACACGACCCTCTATGGAGCCTGGGTGGAGAACCACTACATGGAGCCTCCCTGGGAAGTGCCCTTCTAGGTTGATGCTGTGGGACCGAGTAGCAGAGGAACTAGTCTGGACCTCTGGACCCCAGGAGGTGTTTGGAGAGTCTGGGATAGATATCCTGGGCTATTTCTGCTCCACTGGGCACAGGATTCTCATCTTGGGACCTTTGCTTCCTTGACCTGTAATGTGGCAAGTTGGAGCATTGTTCTCTATGGCATCGTGTCAATTCTAAAGGCTGCGTCCAGAGCTAAACCAAGTTTCCTGAATGATGCCAGAGACATACATGTTCATACATGTATGCAACTGCACACCCAGAAACACACAGATTCATTCACACAGGCTGTGAGGGAATGAGCAAGTCCTTACCCACCGAGTACTGTACTTGGTGCTGGAAACTAGGTGAAGAACCAAAAAGACAAGACCCCTGCTCTCACAGCTTTGAGAGGAGACATATCAGAGATATTACAGTGGGGGGCACACCACACATTACACACACACACCACACACCACATTCACACACACAGACACTGTACACATACCACACATCACACACACACGTACCACACCANGTCCCTACCCACCGAGTACTGTACTTGGTGCTGGAAACTAGGTGAAGAACCAAAAAGACAAGACCCCTGCTCTCACAGCTTTGAGAGGAGACATATCAGAGATATTACAGTGAGGGGCACACCACACATTACACACACACACCACACACCACATTCACACACACAGACACTGTACACATACCACACATCACACACACACGTACCACACCATACACACCACACACAACCCACACGTCTCATTACACACTTACCACACATCACACACACATACCACACCACACACACATCACACACACATGTACCACACCACACACACGCCACACAGCACACACACACATACCACACACAACCCACACATCTCATTACACACCACACACACACACACACACCACATACCACATACCACACACACACGTATCACACCATATACACCACACACAACCCACACGTCTCATTACACACCACACACACACACACACCACACTTACCACACATCACACACACACGTACCACACCACACACATGCCACACAGCACACACACATACCACACACAACCCACACATCTCATTATACACCACACACACACACACACCACACACCACATTCACACACACAGACACTGTACACATACCACACATCACACACACACGTACCACACCACACACGCGCCACACAGCACACACACACACCACATACAACCCACACGTCTCATTACACACCACACACACACACACCACATACCACATACCACATGCCACACACACACATACCACACCATACACACATACCACACACACACCACACACAACCCACATGTCACGTTACACACCACACACGCACACAGACACTATACACATACCATACCACACACACACACCACACACAACCCACACATCTACATCACATTACACACTACACACACACACACACAACCCATACCACACAGCACATACACAGATACCACATAATCCCCAACATACACACCACACATCACACACACACACCCCCCACACATCACACACACACATACCACATACAGCCCACACATCACATTACAAACACCACACACATACCACACACCATATCACACACACACACCACACACACACATATATCATACATACCCCATACATCACATCACACACACCACATTACACATACCACACAGCACACACATGCAGATACCACACAAACCCCTCCCCACACAGCACACCACCACACACAGACACTACATATATGCCACGCACATTCACACACAGAGACACCACATACATACCACACACACACACATACACAGAGACACCATTCACACCCCACACATCACATACCACACAACCACACACACACAGACACCACACATCACATCACACAAAACACACACACACACACACACACCACATAGCACACACACACAGATGTCACACAAACCCCCTACACACACACACACCACACAACCACACAGACACTACATACATATCACACACATGCAACACACACATATTCACACACACATACCACACACACACCACACACACACATACACACCACAAATCACACACACACACACACACACACACACACACATCACACAATGTAGGAGAGTATCTCTTCACTTGACCCATTGCTCTTTTTCCAAGTAGGCTTAGACCTCCACTGTTTCAGGCGAGAAAGATCACAGTTGAGACACAAGGATAGTCCATTCTTAGCATTTGAGTCTCCACCTGGTAAATTCAGGGCCACTTAATAGAGTCCTCCAGGGTTATTTCGACTGCACAGGTTCTGGAAAGCCCCGTGCACCTCCCCTGAGCACACCCTGAAAGAGCCCCCAGCGGTGGGTTTCTCCATGTGGCTTCACCTCCAAGTTCCTGAGAGGCTTTGTTTGGGTGACTGCCCCCTACCACCCAGTCCCCCAGATAAATGCTCCAGAGTGAGCTCCATGGGATAAA